GCTTTTTGTTTACACCATCGCTGGTGTCTGATTTGGTAGAGTTAGAGATGCTTTAAATTTTCAAAATTCCCTTCACAATATATGGAGGAAGAGGAACGATATTCAGCTCAAATTTCACTGAGAAATTTTTTTTTGTTTTTCTAAAAAAGTAAGAAATCATGTTGAGTATAATAAAAGAGATGGGAGACAAGAACTACGAAGAAAGAACGGTGATGTGGTTTGCTACACACTGAAACTTCGTTGTGTATCTAGGTTAATTTTCTTTAATATATAAACACAAGTTGCATTCACTATAAAAACGTTTTAACATAATTACTTTTACATTTAATTAAAAATAAATGACGACGTTCAAACCCTTGAAAATTTATCGAATCATAGTAGTACGGAGCAATAATGTTGTACGAAGCAATAATGTATTCAGATCATTTATAAATCGATAGTAAAATTAGCAAATTACGTAATTTGCTAATTTTACTATCGATTTATAAATGATCGAATACAAACCAATTATAAAATGTCCAAATAAACAGACATACAAATCCATCACAATATGTATAGTTAATAATTGAGAATTCATCTCCTCTACGTAATTAAAAACATTTGTTCATAATTCTATTTCAAAAAAAAAACATTCGTTCATGATTGGATTGGCTTAAAAAAAGATGAGCGTACACACATAATAGTATAATACATAACACTGACACATATGACATACCCAATTACGTTTTACACCAATTATCGATGTTTCTTCATCTCTTTAGCTTTTGCCAAAAATAATCAGCAGCTTCTTATTGGATCTTTCTGTAAAAATATATGAATGAGAAGAGTGTTAACCACATTTGCATTTCCTGTTAAATGATATACGTACAAAAGCGTTAGGTGGCATTTACACTTCTAAGACCTTCATTTTCTTGCTTCTCTGTAAACAATTCAAATCAGTCATGTTCAAACCGTTAACCCAATTAGTTCTATACTTACCAATTCTTTTCTTATATTTTATATTTGTGTTTAAAGAAAGTTTCACCCTTGAAAGTAATTTCAAGTTTGGAACCGTGGAAACATTTTAATTAAAACCAATAATTTCAATTTATTAGAGAAATAATTGAAAAGATGTAGGTAGCAAGTGTTCCCCACACTCACAAAATAGGTATTGTTTCAAAGGTGTAAGGACCAGCTCTAGCATCCGAATAATTTGCAACCTTTAAATATTCCTCTCTTTTTTGTTAATTGTTATATCGAAATATTATCATTTTTACGTTCACATAATAATCGACAGCTTTAAAAATTTCAAGCTTGATTTTTGTTAATTATAAACGATTAATCAACTCAACGCACATAAAAACACATATTTTAAGTACTCAAATCACTGATAGTCTGATAGTCAGTCCTTTTCGCTCACCTTTGGCATTTGGAAACATTTCAAGCTTATCGTAACTCGTAAGGTCTCCATTGATTTGTCCCAATTCAAAATTATCAGAGTTAATTCTTACGTATAGTCAATCATCACATCATCTGTAATCAGGGCCGTGCCTACATTTTCGGGGGTCCAAGGCGAAATTTATATAAAAAAAAAATTGTTTTTCAAATTTCAGAAACATTAAATATTTTAATTATATTAATGAATATACAACTTATTTAGTTATATTTTAATGTTTTAAATATTATATTCTTAGATTAAAATATGTTAAACAGCAATATATATCTACCATTTTTTTTTTCTAAAACTCATTATCCATTAGTTTCTTAAATTATCATAAATATTTTTACATTATTAATACTAGGAATATGTATAAAGCTTAACTAATGTAAAACCAATTGCCATGTTGATTAAGGAAATTAGTGATATAGAACGAAARAATTCTATAACAATTTKGAAATATCAACCTTCAATACAACGTAACAAGGGAATAGGTCAAACTAAAAGTRGAAATATAAGTATGATTTTGCAACAGAATTTTGAAATTTCTATGATTAGAGGCCCTAATATTTAGTGATCAAATGCGGGGTCCAAGACAAATGCCTTAATTTTTGTACATTATGCACGGGCGTGTCTGTAATCATACCAAGTTTATATATAAAATGGAGTAATTTATATATATACACACGATTATAAAACCAAAATCTGAACTAAATTATATTTTCCCCAACGATATCAAGATGGTGACGACACTAAACAGTAAACACAAATCATTAAGCTACATGTTCCGGTTAGTTATTTCTTCTTTAATATACTATTAATTAGTGTGAATTAAAATGTTAGTTATTAAAACAAAATAGTAGTATAATACAAGTACATTATTGCGTGAATTAGTTATGCATGCATTTATTAGACAAGACCTCTCGACTTAGAATTTTTTTTGTGTGGCTAAATCGACTTAGCAACAATTTATCTATAGTATAAGATAATATATATAGATAGACGATCGATGTCTTAACTCATTCGTAAGCTCAGRGGCATATATGAGTTTAGTGGCATCCTTATCCATGCTTTAAAGTTGATTAATAATTTATTGTTTTGATTAATATTAAGAGTAGAATATATATATACACTAGAGATATAGTGGAATAAATAAATTTAATAAAGAAAAAAAATTATATAGGCTATGACTGATAGTACCGTGCAGAAGAAAAGAAAAGAGAGAAAAACTTTTTTCTACCAAATTTTCCTTGATTTATACCAATC